CTTTGATTCTATGCAGAACTGGCAGTGCCCTCGCAGCGGCTGTGAATGTCAAATATGCTGCTCCCAGGGCAGGGTTTGACTGTAGTGGGTTATGAAACAACCACCCAATGCCCCAGAGAAACAGAAACACTGTTTCACAACATGTTCTTTCCAAGATTGGCCTATCAACATAATAATGAGTCAATAAATTTACCTGGCAAGCTCTGTGTAGCACAGTTCATTCACCTTAGTAACTGACAGAAAACAGTTCACAACTAATTATAATTTTATAACCAAATGACGTTTAACCGATTATTTGTTCCATCGTTTCAGTGCCTCAAATATAGTGAGGATGAGTCTGCAAATGTACTCAAGATTTTTTTTTAAATGTCTTTTTAAACATTAGCAGCATGCAAGGACCCTAATATGTGCTATTAAAAACTATTCCTGCATAACTCTGCATATGACACTGCAACCAAGCAACGGCGACTAATCAACCAACATGTGAGAGTTATGTAGAGCAAAGGCCGAGAAGCATGCAGGCACTGTATGTCAATGACCTGCGTAGAGTGGTAATGCAATGTGTTTGTGTGCAAACTCACCTGTCCCGCAGTGTCACACAACTGTAGTCTGACTGGGCTCCCATCCACCTGAACCACAGCTGCAGATACAGAAAGGGACAGAAAGAAAACAAAGTGAGTCACAGGTGACAGTATGAGTTTTAAGGCTGTGTATGTACCCCCACCTGACACTCGAGTTAATGCACACACACACACACACAGCTACTAACCGCAACACTCTCAGCAATAAACAAAACCCTTACAGTTTAAAAAACAAAAAAGACTCCCCGCTGCCGCCTGTTCTGCTCTTCCAGCTCGCAAATGGCCTTGCTCAGTCTCGCCCACCCACTCTGCCAGTTACCGTTCAGACCGTAACACTTTACTGTCGCTCAGACCGCTCGGTGGGCTTTGTTCTGTGCTGTGTTTTGGCAGAGGCCAGTCAAAGGTTGTCTGATGGTGTGTCTATGTGTGTGTGCATGGGGGTAAAAACAAAGCAGATTTTGTTTATTTAGTGACTCTCTTCCAATTGGCCTCATTTCCAGATTGGAAAAGGGAGTGAGTCATCTCACAGTGAGTTTCATTACAGGGCCATTTATTCTATTCAGAAAACTGAACACAACGCAGAGCAGCAGGCACATGGAAACATTTACAATAGGCCTGGAGCGTGTGGTTGGTCATACCACCTGATCAAAGGGTTTTGCTGGAACTATTCATATAGGAGGACAGCCGTCAGAACACCCTGCTTTCACAGATGCAAAGGGGGGGAAGCGCGGGAGGACACATAAGAGAGATGCCATTGGGTAATCATTTCCTAATACCTGACATATGATACTCCTTTGATTTTCTCATCCAAAACTCCTTATTGTCCAGTCTCCTAGCCTCCCGCTTCTCCAAGTCTCTGCCACCTGTGGCATTGTGTAACTGCTCAGAAATCAGCTTTCAAGGGAACGCTCTGATTCCAGGCACTGAAAAATGACATCACTATTAAGGGCCCCAACTGCACAATCACTCTCTGTCAGGCCAGGGAGAAAGACAATCTCTGCCTCAGAGCTACTGCAACAGATGTGCCCGTTTCAGTATAGAAGAGAGGCCTTGCGGGTCAAGGCTGACAACAATAGGCAGAGTTGTGCAATCCAAAACCCGTGAACCAGTGAACCAACCTCTGTTCTGTATGGAAGAGTTGAGCCAGCACTTGTCTAAGGGTGGTGTGTGCTCTACAAGAGTGTTTTATGAGATTTGGGTTGGCCACATTGTTCCTTTTAATGCTTATCAAGAGTAATGTCAGGGAATTAGCTATTAAGTTTACAAGTTTTTTCATAGCCAGCCGTTTTCTTTTTAAATAAAAATGTTAGATTTTGAAAAGGTAAAATACCAAAATCTTTTTGTATATAAATCAGGGTATAATCCTGCACGAAAAAGCAAAACAGCTTCTATGTTGCTCTAGAACTGCATTTCAAATGGTATGTCTAAATAACAGATGCGATCACTCGTCAATAAAAGCGATCAACAGGTCACCGTGTATTTTTTTTCTATTCCAATACTGTTCGGGTTCAAACACCACCTTCAAAGGATTTTTGTTTTTCTTCTCTTACATCGCAAAAGCTTCCAGGGATTAGTGAGACAGTTTGGAAAGTGGTACAGCGCCAAATGGAAACCCAGCTACACCAGGGAGGATACTTCATCCACATTAATTACCGCTGATGGAGGACAAGATAGCAGGAAACACAAAGACATCTATCAGTCCTTAACATCTGAATAATAGAGGGACATTGGGGAATATAGGTGCGGTGGGGCGAAGTTGATCTCTAAAACAAGCAAGAGTTGAAAAGGCATCCTGTGAAAAATGGGTGATACTGACAGGTAGATGGAAACCAACAGATTTTTCTATAGGAGGGTTTTTTTTTTAAGTGTCATAAGTTTTATTAAGTTTATTCACCTCGTTTAAATAAACTGGACATGTTCAGCTATGACAGGTGACACACATACACGGTCTGCCTGTGCATTCACAACATTTCTAAAATCTGGAATAAAATGAATAAAATAATATGTCTGTTTACCCGTGAAGTCATCAAATGCAGTAGGGACGTATTTCGTCGGGTATCCATTCGTGGTGTAGCTGACCACCAGACTGGTTTTCCCCACCGCTCCATCGCCCAGCAGGACGCACTTCAGCAGCCGCTCCTGCGCCTGTCCTGGCCGGGTAGGTTTGGGTTTATGAGGAGGCACTGGAGGGGCCATGGTCCTACCGTAATCCATTCTGAGTGGAGGTGCCTTTCAGTCAGCCAGCTCTGCACCGCGATCTCCTCGATGGACCGGTGAAACACCCACCATGAGAACAGGTTCTTTCCTCCTTTGCAGTTTTTCTTCCCTCCAAACGGTAATGATCGCAAACGGAGCTCGTGCGTAAAACCTCTCCTCCTGTGCGCGCTGTCAAATCCAGTACGGGAAGTTATCGTCCAGTACTGCACCGCTGAACACTGCAGTTTTACCAAGCGAGGGAGGACCCAAAGTGTTTTTTGTGTGTGTTTTAGGATTAATTTGACTAATCCCACCTACTTTTTCTCATTGGCTCCGCCCAGCAACGTGGGAGTGTGAATCCAAGTGTTCTTTGAAGAAAAGAACATTACCCTTATTAAACTGTTTGGGGAAAATTAGAAAACAAGAGGGACGATCCTGTGTTTTTATTATTATTATCAATCTTTCCTTTCAATATATTATTGTGTAGTTTACTCGTTTAACCTGTTACACACTGCGTTGCTATGGGCTTAATGTTTGATCTCTTGCAGGCATGTCCAGACGTGTCCTCACTAGTTAGGAGGAAGCCTTGATGCCCTTTTTGAACATGGATATAAAAAGTGCTGAAATTTTATACGCAGACTTCAGCCTCCTGACTTACTTTACCTTGTACTAGTACGCTTTTCCAAGAAGGAACATCCAGAATCTACAAGATTACTCAATCAATCAATAAATGGAAATTTTATTGTATTCTCCACGTGATCGGCCAGTTTTAAACTGTCCAATATCTAAGGTGATCCGCTTTCTTATGCTAATTTGTCAAAGACACTGGAAACCTCGAAAACTGAACCAAATGTTTTGCCTTTTGCCGCCTCCTTGTGGCTGCAGCGAGAAACTGACATACCTGAAAACAGGTAGCGTTAATACTCTTGTCTGTTTAAAAAAGCCACAGTATATGTTGAATTGATCTCTCAAGAGTTTATTTTTCCAGCCATAAAACTAGTTATTTTCAGGAATACAAAGAAAAGTGCACTAAGATAATGCAGGTCACGAGTGATCAATTGTTTGGAAATTAAATGAAAAGGAATTAAAAGTCAGTTTTCTGTTTAGATTAATATTTTCAAGGCAAATAGAAAACAAAAACTTCTGGTAATCTAGGCCTGGTATGACAACTCTATGAAAATGAAGTTTGGCTGGATTAGTAGCAGCTTTGCTAAATATGTACACAGGAATCATGACAAAACAGATTTATACATGTTAAGCTGTGTGGTTACATATTGCTGTCACCCATCAGAAAGGACAGATGGGTGTGTCTATGCTACTACTGTAGTTCTATGACCAAGCAGCACATGATTTCTGACACTAACTGGCCATTAGGTTTTGGTTTTTAACGGGTTATATCTATGCTTTCTCTGTAGGATGTAAATTCACATCTATAAGGCATAACAGTCTTTGTGTGAGCTTTAAAAGCAGACACTAAAGGGAAATATGGACTTCAACTGTGGAGTATCCTGAATAATTTTATTATTCCTAAAACAGATCTACTTACAGTTCCATATAAGATACCTTGCCCTGTACAGATATAGGAATCCGGTAAGTTTTGTACATATACAAAACTCCATTATTGGGAAACAAATGGTTAGGCTGATACGAGAAGTGGTGCATTGTTGGAGGAAACAAGTTGTAAGTACTGTGAATCAGATCATGCACTGTAACCTGCGGTTAAAAAGGCACCTGCTGTATTACACTTTCACGTTCCTTCACAAGCTTCCTCTACAACGGGAGACAAAACACTTTAAGAGCACAGAGAACATGGGAAATCTTAGCACTTTGTCTATTGCCCATATACGCAATCATGAAACTCCTCAGCAACACTGACACCTCTGGTACTCTGCCAGTGAAGAACTTCCTCTCGTAAAATTTATAATGTTGTAAATTACTAAAGTCACCGAGGAGCTCAGTTATCTTTCTGTTTATATCAAAGGAGGGAAAGCAGTGCCTTTCAGCTGCTCCCTTTAGGAGTCAGCACAGCGGATCTTCTGCCTCCATCTCACCCTTTCCCTAACAGCCTCCTCTATCACACCGACTCCCTGTATGTCCTCCTTCACTACATCCATGAATCTTTTAGTGTAAGCAATGAAAAAAACAAAAAACACACAAAACATAAAAAGGGTGACTGATAGTGAATAGAAATGGATGCCAGCGAGGGTGAAAAGAAACACAAAATTTTGGAAAATTAAGAAATGTGACTTTAATTGCTGGGTAACAGTTTTGTTTGAGCAAGCTCTATGTCAGTTACTCGCATACATGCACACACAAACACAGAAACGTCCATACACACCTGCATACACACAGATAAACAGTCATGTGAATGAATATGCATGGAGAAATGTACATGTGATTTCACACACGTCTTTAATTGCCAGTTTTATGCTGCCGTGATCTGTGTTGACCCCTGTTTTAGTGCTCCTCGCACAAATCCCCTCAACGACTCAATTCCCTTTACTCAGGCGTGTAGCTGTCAGTGTGGGAGCTTCCCTTTTATGGTCTTGTACCTCATTTTGGACTACAGCTCAATTTAAGACACTTTTTGAATTCTTTTTTACATGTCAAAAACAATATTTCCAAAGATGGTCATGCGCAATCACCTGCGCTGCAGAATCTCTTCTTCTTCGAAACCAGCAGCAAGAGTCCTATCCAGGATTCATACACCATGAAGCAGAATCATCTCAGCCCCATCCTCTAACCCCCATAACTTGGATACAGTTAGTGTGAAGTACCATGCGTAGCCCTCATCATCATTCATTTAAATAACCTCCCTTTCGTTCCCTTCCCCGTTTCTGGAGCTCTGTTCTGTGGAGCTCTGAGCACAGACTGCCATGTAAGACATCTGAGTGACAGTCTGTAACTCATGTAGCTTCTCTTTAAGTCGCTGTCCATGAGTGATTACTGGGTTTTGGGTTTGGCACCACCAGGAGTTGGATCAGGAGGAGGGCCACCACCCTGGACAAGTCTTTGAAGACTACAGGGGAGACACATAAGTGATAATAAGTGAAAATTAGCATCATCCACCACCATTATTTTTTGTTAAGTGTGTGTTAATGTGCTGCCAGAAACTATACAGGTATGCCTCACTGATAAATCCTATGTTTAAGGAACACATTCCAACATAGTTAGTCCCCTTAGCTCGTCCTACCAGCCTTATAGTAGAACCTTTTAAATTACTTCAGTTAGATCCCTCCCTGGTTTGTTTTAGTGGCTTGAAGCCATTTTGATACGGATTACCTGGTATTTTTTCTTGGGATTGTGTGTGCGTGATACTGTTACTGCCATTAACTATATCAGCATATTATCGTGGGCTTGGAAGGCATGACTGGGAAATGGATAAACTATTTTGGTTGTAAGTGGTTCCAGTTTGGATCGACAACCAGGTTTGTTAATCCTACTTATTTTCTTGTTTAGAAAAAAGACAGGAAAAAAGGTCAAGGACACATCTGGTTGATGGAACCAGGCTGTGAACATTAAAAATTCTGAGATCCCACTGTGAGCTAAAAAGAGCTAAAAACTCATGCAACTGTAACAATGGATCTCCAAACTAACACTCTATACTTCAACATTCGGCCAATAATTAGCAGATAATGAGCAAATACACTATAACATATTAGTTACCATTATTATTAATAGCATTGTCATGCTGCACAGCCATGGTGGATCAATCTTCTGATGAGAATCATTTGATTAACAGTTAAAAATCTGTTGCTTTTTTCTAAACACAAATCATTGAGCATCATGTTCAGTCTCAGTCTGCTGACCAGCTGAAACTAAATGCTGTGATGTAAAGTACAATGTGTTTGCTTTATTAATTGCAGTACTGTGCAAAATCTTGAGCCTCCCTTCTCAAAAAATGTAAAGTGGGATTAGTCATTGATTTTCAGTCCAGGTCTTGTGTAATCTGGTACACCTCAGCCTTTTCTCCCTGTTTCCCTTCCTGAAGAATGACAGCCACCCTTCCCCTAAAACCATTTCTGATGTACAGTCGATGGATCAGCTGAAGGGCCAGATGCATTTTTCAGGTCCTGTTTCAGGTCTTTGCTGGATTTATTTTTTTATTCTATTAGTCATATCCTATTTATTTACCATTTAAAGCTGAATCATGACACACTCGCCAGAAATGTATAAATATATATATTTTAAATTAAAAACAAAAATGAATGTAAGATTTATTTGCTTTTATTAATTTGACTTTGTATCATATTTGCTATATCTGGCATTTCAGCTAACAGCACTTTGAGAATCACCTTTTTGTGCAAAAATACTCGTTTATGTCTGTGTTTCTACAACAGGCTGCAAAAAAAAGTGCCTAAAGATTCAGTTTTTTTCAACATGTTCAAAATGTAATTTCCTTATAGTGTTAAAAACATATCTGAGTACTGCAGCAATGAATAGATTTGGCATATTTGTTTATTTTTCTTATAGACTGCATAGTGCTATTGACTATATACTGTGTTAAACAGTGTGAATGATACTTTGTGCAGTCAGCTCTGGTGCATACTTAAAGTAAAAAGAAGTATCTGAGATCATGAGCTCCACTGTGTTGGTGATAGCACCTTTCTGCCACAGGATGGCGTCATACTCACATGTCCTTGACGTTGTCAATTTGGGCCTGGATTTTTGCAATAACGCCATCAACCTGCTCCTGGAATATAACAGAAAAAGGGTACAAATGTTAAAGGATATGGTGGACATTAAATATCAGTGAGTGTACAAATAGAAAAAAAAGTTGCTACCTGACGTCGTATATAAAAAAGGGGCAGAGAAAAGACAGCGATCACACCTAGAAGAGAAAAAAAAGTAGAGTTGCCAAAGTGATAAACAAAGAGTGTATCAATAGCTTTCATATGTCCAGTGATGATATGCGTTTCTTACTGATGATGAGCAAAGTAAGGCCATTGCACAGGTCTCCCAGGTATGTCACAAGGTACATCAGAAACAGGAACTAAAAGAATAAACATAAAATAAAGAAACAGCTGCACAGACTTTAGCTTTCACCAGAAAGTTAAGCTGTTATCAAGAAACCCTCCTGCAAACCTCCATTTGGTTTTCATTTCCTTCTAGAAAACAGTCCATCACACTAACACACTGTTGATTTTGCTCCACTGTATTATGTAAATAGGATACAGAATTCATTAAATTATTGTCACTGACATCATTTCTCCTTGACGGCTAAAATAAGCTTTAAATATAACCCCCACGCCCCAATATGATACAACTCTTTCCCCTCATTTTTCAGTTCTGTCACTGTACATATGATACTGACATGGGACACCCTGTGTCAGATGGAAGGAGACTCCAGCTTATCCCGGGTGTCTCTGAGTTCATATCCCTGTGTGTCATGCCACATTCCAGCAAGGTCAGGGTTGAGAACAGGGGGTCCTGGGATTAAGGGGCTCAGTCAGCTTACGCTGACTCACCATTTATTGCAAATGAGTTATTTCAGCCTGCTGTTAACAGCTACAATTTCATATCTATGTAGATGTTTTACTGATACTGGTAAAACTAGAGTATTCTGCATGTTATTCCAATACTGGCAGTGAGGTTTACTAACTATATTGTAAGTGACTGGTACACGTGTATAGTGAATGCTGCATCAATAGCTCCTATCCCAGTCTAATACTACTCTCTATGAAATAAGTGGAAATTACCCTAAATTTAATCAAAGGTAAGTAGCCATCACACATTTTTTTATTCATATTTGATTGACCGTTTTGACCCCTCAGAGGATCCCTCAAACTTTTCTTAGACTTGTATCACTTGCATTACTCAAGAACACACCTACATTTGAAATGACTTGAGCCTAATGATGACTGTGTCAAAAGGCTGATTAAGAACTGGCATTTTATGCATTAGCTTTCAGAGAAAGGACATAAACCTAAAGTCAATCAAGTTTTATCTAAAAAACTGCAACAAAGCATTTTCCGTCACAGCAAACTAGATAAATCATTAGTTATGTGATGCTGGCAGATTTTCCGCTCTTGACTTGATGAATATGATCTCTCCTGCAAGCAAGGGTTTGGCCTTGCTAGCAGGAGAGGCATAGCCAAGGGTTGGATGAGAAGAGTGAGGCATTTCAGTTTGATCTGAAAGGATTCTTTATCCAAAGGGACACTTAGCCTTCCAAACAATTACCAAAAATATGTCACAGGGACTGACAGCTGCCAGCAGTGCTATTAATTTATTTAGGAGGAGAGGCTTCAGCTTTGAGCCGGGAGAATGAGAGTAACAGTCGGCAATGACCTAACCTCCAGTGATAGAGGGATGAGGCAGGGAGGAAGATGACAGATGATGAAGCAAAATGAAGGACTACGGAGATAGGATGATATCTTGGTTAATGATGATAAAATGAAGATAAAAATGGAGAGGAGAGGTTCTGGACAAAGCGAAACAAATCACTTACCTTGAGGGATTCAAAAAGGTTGCCAACAAAAAAGAGTCTCTTCAGAGTGTCAACAGCTGACAGAGTCATCACAATGAGTTTCTGCATATAGAGGTCAGCCTGCTCTCCACTGAAGCTGATGTCCAAGTCCAAATAAGACCTGATAGGACAGGATGACAAAAGCAGAAGCTAGATGCTGAAATGTCAGATTTAGTCTCACATTTCTTTGCACTGCATTTATTTTTGAGTCTTTTCTGAGTCATTCCTCCTTAAAAACACAGATTCCACACAATACTTCAAGCACATATACTTGTCATAACTTTCAAAGCCATTAAATTGCCCAATCTCTGAAACTTCCCAGGTCATCAGCAGCTATTTAAAATCCATTTTACATATAAAGCTATCATTTTATAAAGAGGCATTGCAACAAGATGACTATCCTATAAGGAAAATTCAACAAAAGTGACAATATTTCAAGTATGCTTTAACAAACAAAAAAATAAAGGTTTCCTGAGTGAAAGTTGTTATCTTAACCCCCTGGTCTTGAGCACATTCTATATTAATTTGTATAAAAACTAAAATAACAAAGGTCAAGTCTCCATTAAATAAAAGCACAGCATCTTACTTGAACGGATGTTCTCCATCACCCCAGCTGAGGATGTAGAGGAGTTGGTAGTAGATCCGTACTGAGATGGTGAAGCACATGATAGCCAGGGAGACTGTGGAGACCACAGTGATGATGCTGAGCTGGAACAGGGACAGCAATCCCACCACTAACCCTGTGAGCACCATGCCACTCCGCTCCGTGTCCTTCCAGTAGATCAAGTCCATCACTAAAAGGCAAGGCAGGTACCGTGTGGTCAGAAATGTACATGCTTTATCATAAGCACAAATATCATGGAAATTTGAGACTTTTACAATATTTTTTTTTTGTGATGTTCTATTTCCAGGGTGGAATGATTGTACAGCACAGAGGTGTAGAGGAGTCAAACATGCATACATTCACTTAAATCTTTTATTAAATAATGCTTTGCCAGCATCTAAAGGATTTATTTAAAGCACACATTAAAATGACCGAGTTCAAGGAAAAGGAGAAATGTAGGTTTAAATAAGTTTGGAAGGTCTCGCTGAGCCAATTTTAAACTAGGGCAGATTCAAAGTACAAGTTATTCAGATGCGTCACCATTTTGCCAAGGTTCAAAAGAAGATACGAACTGTCACCCTTAGAGGAAGGGAAATTGGTTATATATTCAGAAACAGTCCATTAAGCACCGAAGGTCAAGCCTGCAATGAACTGGGAACTGCTGGAACACCAACATCACTGTGCACAGCAAAGCCAGTTTTATATTGACCTTGACTGAGGGTGCTGACCAAGACAGAAGCCCTTGCTCCAAAATTGATACCTTTAAGCTCAACTGAAATTTGTAGCTGCCCACATGGACGAACCAAATGCCTTTTAGTGAACATTTTATGGGCAGGCAAAATGAAGATTGACCTGTTTCGCCACAATCACAAGAGGTATGTTTGGAAAAGTAAAGGTGAGGCTTTCAAACAATAAACCTAACACAGTACCAACTATCAAGCATGGTGGTAGTAGCATCATGATCTGTGGCTGTTTTGTTACCATTGGTATTGGTACACTGCAGAAAATGGATGAAATAATGAAGCATGACTACCTCTAAATTCTTCAACTTCACTGCAAAACAGCTAGATTGTTAAAACTTGGATACAATTGTGTGTTCCAACAGGACAATGATCCCAAACACAAACTGGGTTTGGATTGGATGAAGCAGGCTAACATTAAACTTCTAGACTGGACTTCCCAAACCCCTGACTTCTAACCTAATCTAACTCTTCCAATTCTGCATGGAATAGCAGTCAAATATCTAGCCAGAATTATGCCAGAAGTTTGTTGATATATAACAAAAACAAGCTGCAACTTGCTGAGGTACATGAAACTAAATATTACTGGGCATGTGAGTTTATTTTTGACCCAGTTTGGATTGGAGAAAATCTGAATTAAAAACAAACATTTGCCCCTAATTCAAGCTTTGAAAAGTTTTTTAAAGATTTACCCGTATAATCACGCCACCCCGGAAAAAGAACAGTTTAATGAACTCAGCAAAAGCACCAAATTACCATGACATTTATGCCCATGATGAGTGTATGTACACCTCTGACAACAACTGAAGAAAAGAAAGGTTAAAAAAAGATAGAGCCAACAGAATAGGAAGTAAAAAAAAAAACCAAAATAAAAACAGTGGCTGAAAAGTCCAGGCAACTGTTGACAATATATTCGATTTTGACAAAGCTGCTGTATCATTTAAACTCCTCAACATTCGGCTGAATAATACCTTTTTTTATTTTTTAAGAAGCACCATTGAAAGAGCACCTGGAGCATAGGAAAAGAGATGGAAAGGGTGGCCAGAGAGGTTGAAGACATGAGGCAAGGAGGGATTTTAAGCCTCAGGCATGAAAGCACACAGGGCAGCTCCGAGGACACATCAGGCTCTAGGTCCAGTTAAATTTAGCCCTCAGATGAAAGAGGGAAACAAGCAGTTGAGGGGAATTTAAATGCAGCCTTTCACAGCACCTGCTGTCAGTCGTCAGGACATCGGCAGCCCCTTCTCCACACCCTGTTAGTTTCCCTCTCTGTCACCCAGCAACAGCTGCCCTGGAGACTGAGGCGTCTGCAGAGTCATGCAGTACTACAGTGGACAACTTTGATGTACGCAGTAGAATTCGTGGGTCATCTTTTTTCTCTTAACAATTTTAATGTTACAGAAAACGATTAAGCAATTAACAGTAATTAAAATTCCATCACACAGCTCACTGTAAATGCAGTGTCCCTGTGCTGTGTAATTATTGTCAGAGAGAGACCTGGTACTTTGTACTCGTCGTTCAGCGAAATGCTAAGCCTCAGCATTAGAATAAAGGGAAGCCTCTTTCAATGGAGTGTACTGACAGCAGGTGGGTTATTTATAAACATCACTGCACACAATTAATACCCATGATGCCCCTGGAACACACCTGTTCATTGTGTTTGTTTGTGCTGCTGCCATTCCGGGACAGTGACACTCACATGGAGACACAGCAGGATACGTGTTTAGTGTAATAACACATAAACAGCAGTATGACATCAAAACTGGCCATGGAAGACACATTGTATTTGGCTCATCTTCACACACCTTGTACTTGTACTTTACTACTTGCTCTCTATTACTTGCTCAGGGTTTTCTAAACACACGAGTATTGAGTAAATATGCAAAAACACTGTGACTTCCCCTTGTAATCCCCTAAAGTTGGTTTATTTCATTTATTTATTAGCAATTTCTTTCCAAACAGAACTTGAACAATTTATCAGACAAATAATATTAGCTGTTTGTTGATCGATTTGCATTGGCATGTATGAGGGCTGATAAATCAAAACTTCAAAAGCAAACAGGAAATTGGAGAAACACCCTTCAACCATGTTATGAGTGTTGACATTGCCCTGTTGGCAACACATGCCACAAACACAACAGTCAGAGAGTAAACAAATAAATAGACAACTGAACATAAAGAGAGAAAGAAAAAATTTGCACATATATTAGAATCTCGAATTTTTAAATCAACTATCGGTAACAGTATCGGTCTTAGAATCCTATATCAGTTGGGCTCCACTTTCAGTCACTTTACTTAAGACATTAAATAATGGATTCAATTTTCCAAAGGGCCACATGAGAAACTGGGACTGTTGTGAAGGGCTGCACCAATAAGCTTATAAATAGATAAAAATCATGTTAACCAGAATTGAGTTCAGAGTTGCTGGTATGGCTCTCCACAACAGTCCCATTGGCCGCTTTGCAAAATGAATTGCCCACCCATGCATTAAATATTTAATCTCCACATGACAGGAAGTATTTCACTGGTTACAAGTTAGCTTAATTCTTCAGTCCACTATAGTTCACTAAGATGAAGAACTGCAGCACCTTATGGACAACTGAGCCTGGCTCCAAAAGTGAGGAAAGCCCATAAACAAAAATGACCACATTAAAAGTAGAAATAAAGATATACAAAAAAAGGTACAAAAGGGCTTTGGTCTTTTTTATTTATTACTCAGGTGCATCCACAGTTCACAACATATCAAGTACTGAGCTAAAACATGGTGCAATTCACATTAGCTAAACTGCAGTGCTTTAACTACGATATACAGGATGTTACTGTATTCTTGATTATAATTAATCAAACAAACAGTCAATCAACTGTCAATTAACCAGTCAAACAAAAGTAATAGAGCCAACTCGTCCTTCATGCCACCTTGGCTTGACATAATTTCATTTCAGCCCCCAAAATCCATTTCACTTGTGCCTGGTCATGTCAGCTCAAGCATGTTGCCACAAACCTCGTACTACTTTAGAATGAAACTCCATCTGTGCCAGCTCTTCAGTCTAAAGAGGAAACACCAAAGAGTAAGAGAACCCAGCTGGCAAATATATTACAACCCATGACTGAAAGTTTATAGTCATTTGAATGGCTGGTGCTCATTTAAATCCAGGGTACTGATAAATGTGGCTATATTTGAACAACTGATTAGTTTAGTGCCAAACACACCTGCAGCTGATGGAAACACCCATCCCCAGCGAGCAGCAGGAAATCCACTCAGTTTAAACCTTCAGGACTCTGACAGACCAGCCTTCTCTAAGCCAGTCAGAAAGCTAAACAGTCCACCACTTGAATCTGCAGCTTTCTCTGCCATCAATTTAACTGAAATGAAACACAGCTCTTTGTGGGAGTTGTCCCTCAGCTCATCACACTAAGCTTAGACCTACAGCTCACCTATAAAGGTGTAGAAAATTCTATTTCCACATCCAGAGCATCTCACCTTTACTGGCCATTTTGGTTGCTGCTCCAGCGTTTCCCCTCGCACCCTCTGCCCCTCTCTCTGTGTGTACCTCTCACCCCTGTGAGCTGTTTTTGGCCACCCACTGCTCGCTCAGCAGTCCAAAGGCCTGACAGCCCAAAATAATCTCATGTGCAGCACCGCCCAGCACTCTTAGAAAATACAAGAGCTTCACCCATAAAGAGATGATTCGCAACCATTACACTAGATCTTCTGACTCTAAAGACAGATGAATGAATCCATTCCTTTAAACTGGGAGTTTGTTTTATAGAGCTGTGTTCATATTTTAAATTGTGTGAAACAGGAGAATGAGTGTCTTTTTTTCTGTTATGTCACCAGGTCCCATCTTTCTGTTTCCACTGCTGACAAAAAAACAGAAGAGCAACTGAAAAGCTGCATTCTTTTTCACCTTTTCTAGAGTTATAAATTCTACTTATGATTTAATGTGACAAAACAAACAAGATAAAATGCTTAAGTTATCAAATGTCTAAAAACAACTAGCAGTACAAGGCCTAAAATGACTGACTAAAAGGGTGCTGAATGAGAACCCAGTCATTTATCATTGCCAGTTTCAATATTTGAAATTTGATACAATGCTACTAAAAGCAGTCATAAAACCAAAAGAAACATGATATTCCAATAGATATATTTGCAGTACTTATTCAGGGGACCCTAATCTCTGTCATCAGCCTGCCCGCACATTTATTAACGCTCAAACAGTCGTCTAAAATAAGACTCTGATGGAGGATCCACTTCGAGGGTCAATTCACCACTACAATGCTAGCAAACTGCCACAAATCTGCATACACAGAAACTCCTCCCATATACTATGTGCATCTTTCTTTCTGTTGTGTTGCTGACATCAGCATGAATCTGAAAAGTCAGCCAGTGCCAGCTATGGTTTGCTCACAATGAGCCAATCACTCCTTAAATCCCAAAAGAGGGTTATTACGGAGACACAATGAACAGCCAGCACTTCCACGGGGGTGGGGAGAGGGTCAGTTATCTTTGTCTGCCTGCTCCTGAAGGTCCATGCAGAAAGTGAAATCTGATATTCTCCTTCTTTAAAGTATTGATTGAGCTCAGTGAAAGAATCTTGCTGAACGAGAGAAGAGGCAGAGGTCAGGAGAAGACAGACGTTTTTTATTCTCCTACCTGCTATGTGTGTGCATGCTGCCCAGTCCTCTGTTAGGTTAAGTGCTGAAAACCAGTGATCTCTGACCAGTTGTTCCTGAGTGTTTAGGCCAATGGCAGGCGGCGCAGATGACGCTGGGTCTCCCGGTCGCACAGTTGTGAGAAGCTTGACTGAAATGGTTTCCCTGGCAACAGAAGATACTGGCTCAGCTGCTGCTGCTGGGAAAAAGAAGAATGTGTCACTATGGTAATGCCATCACGTTGAATGTGCTTAACTAAACAGCAGCAAACTATATTTTGCACAAGAATGCGGATTTGTTTGATTTGACCACTATTTGTCTTTATAACATTCACCACAAACAAAATCTCTTTTACACTGACACGATCACAAGATACAAATGATATATGAGGCTATCAGACTACTGAATGTAGTTTAGATTAGAGTTGTTAATTGGGTATTTTACAGCCTTTAGAAATAAAAATTACATCTGGGGTTCCACTGCTCTTCTATTTATACATGCTATTTTTTCTCACTTTTTAATTTTTAAGCACAATAAATTTATATGTAATGAAATGTATTCATAAAAACCCACTGGAAAGTGGGTTTACAAAATATTTATGCGGCCTTTCGATGCTACAATTGTCTAATCATTTTGATTTGTCGTCACTTCTGCCTCAGACCCTAACGTGAAGCATGACTCAAGGCAAGGTCATCACTTAAGCTCTCAGAACATGAAGATTTTAAAGTGGAGACTGTTAGGAGGAACTAACAAAAAAAAAGTCTCTTATACTCAATAAATGTAAAATTTGGAAAGACTCCTTTACAAGATGTTTAAATTCAGTGTAAAAATAATATAAAATGAAGGTAAAACAGCATACAACAACATAATCTTTTTGTAGATCACATGAGGACTTCAAAAGACTTTTGACAAGATCATTATGCTGACTGACAGAATCAATAACCCAGGCCTAAACTCAGTTTTTTGTATTCTAATGTATCTTTAGTTGATCATAAGAATTCATAGTGATTTTTGGATACAGGCTACACTTATAAAACATCTACTCTAATGCTCAGTATGCTTAAAATTACAAGTCAGTTGTGCAAAGAGCTCATTACATTTTTTTGGTTGAAAACCTACTGCTCAGTCAACCAAGCTAGTCATCTCTGTACTGAGGCATCCTGAGATTTCTCAGACACTACATATTTTAGAGTTTCACACAACACAGAATGAAGCAACCTCATCACATATTTCTCACTCTGAAGTATCTGTGAGGGGCTCTGTTGCAGGGATGACAGGATGGAAGGGGAATTCTCCACACTCTCGTCAACACTCTCCTCTCTTTGAACTCCTTCATCTCTCTCTTGAGGTTCTGGGTCCAGGTTTTGGGGAGAGGGCTGAATTGTAATAGTTTCAGTTTGTCTTTGTTGCTCCCTTTCCCGTCTTTCTCCAGCACTTTCTGTCCTCGTCTCAACTCTCTCATGCTCTCTGCTTTCTGACGTTTCCTCTTCTTCATCTCTACCGAGGAACAGTTGAGGATCCCAGTCTGCATCAGGGGAGTCCAACAGTGTTTCCAGGGTGTCCGTGCGGATCAGAGGAGTGCGACTGCCTCGAGAACCAGCCCTGCGTCGATCGCGGAGGAGTCTAGAGGCACCCACTGCTTCAGCCTCGGCAATAGCGATGTAGGAGAAAGTCTGCTCGAAGGAGTTCTGACGCGGTGTGCCCCAAATAGACGGGGATGAAGCCAGTCCCTCATCATCATCATCTGGATCTCCATCGCCCCCCTCATCGTCGTCGGACCACTCCCTGGCCGTGTGCAGCTCATACATCTCTGACTCCTCATTTCCACCTGAACGAATAGAAAAACAAGATGGATGTGAGCTCAACGTACACACTGACACACAGTAACAAAACAGAGAGAGACAAAGAAACAGGATACAAGCTGGGAAAAAAACAGTTTACAAATAATCTAAAGACACTGGGGCTACTAGTGTTATTGCAGTGCTATGCAAGGAGAGAGATTTTAGTTTTATTAAATGGAAACGTCAGATGAAAGCTGCAAGGCATCCTATTTGATGTCAGGGAGAAGAAAGAGTTCAGAGTCGAAAGATGAAGCCTTCTTTGATAAATGCAAAAACAGCTCTCCTTACAAAAAAGGAACAAATCAGCGTTCCTTTAGTCTAACCTGTGGATCTTCATTGCTAGCATTAGAGAAGTTGAATAACAGGTGCATTTAGGTGAACTTGCATCAATGAGTAGACATTCTGCCACCAAATATCTCTGGGGATGTTAAGTGTCTGCTTCTTACCATCAGTGCAGGGAGGAGTTGAGTCTGGAGTGGATGCCACGGAGCCATATTCCTCTGAAAGGACAAAACAGTGAAACTTTTGCATGAACCCACGGGTAAAACAGGAATGTTTAAGGCAAGCTGCTGTAAATCCATTCTTTCCACCATCTCACACTGAGCTCACAGCCTGGCAAACACTGAACGTAGGTGTTTCTTCTAATGATTAAAAACCCCAAAAGAAGCATTGCAGTAACTCGTTATGAGTCACTGTTTTAAGGGTTATAAGTGAACTGTCACTGTACACATTGAAAAAGACTGGGAGGTACCCTACTCAGCAATTTCAACCTCTATGTAAAACAACAAAGCATAAAACTGTGTGCATATCAACCATTTTGTTGCATATTGATTCATTTCCTTGCAGAGTTGTGCTGGCACCAGTAAAGGCCTTCACTACATTAGACAGCCAGCATGACTTTAGCTAATAAATAAACCAGGGAGTGGAACGAAGCAGCATACTCTCGTCTGCACATGCAAATAAGCAGCCACTTTAATTTAAATGTAGAGAGGATCGTGCCCATATTCTGTCAGAAAGCTGAAATAAAAGGCAGATATGGAAGCACAACAGAAGCTTGTGGCAGCTTGAAATAACTTGCATGCCTAACATGCCTGGCTGAAAAGCCCTCTCAGACACAACCAAATAAACATCTGCTATCCAATGCTAGATAACAACAACCAAACAATCTGCTTCTGCACTGCATCCGCTCCATTAAGCCATGTGTTTATGAAAGGTATGAGCAGTAGAGAGGAACAGAGAGCATGCAGGAGAGGAGGGAGGGGGAGAGCTAACACATACGATGCTCATAGCAGTTAGCAGGAAAAGATACTGAGCTGGAATATAATATGATGGAAAGGTGAGATAAGCAAATGCAGACGCCCCCAACACTGAAACACAAACTGAAGGACCAAAGCAGACTCACGGCAGTGGGAGAATCCTAAAACCTGGCCCATGCTCCATCAAGGCATTGCTGGGCCCATCCAGTCATCCAGTCTGGAAGCTCCCCCCTCCTCCTCCTCCTCTGCTGCTGACACTCACGTCCTGTGGACTCTCTCTCTCTCTCTCCTCCTCCTCCCTCTGTGTCTCAGTCATCTACTGAGAGGCTTCCTCCCTCTCCTGCCTCTCGCTCAGTCACTCAACAGCCCCGCCCTGCCTCACTCCACCATCCTCCCCTCTACATCTCCTCTTCCATCGCTAAGGCTGCAGCTGTAGTAGTAGTGTACGCTACAGCAAAAGGGGGGAAGGCACGAGTGTCTGTGTGCCTCAGCTTGCTGTCATCTCCCATTCACAGCTACTCTACACCCATCTATCCCCTCTCCCTCTCTCTGTCATCATGTGATCCCATCTCAGGATCTGATCGAATCAGGTTGTCAGAGAATGAAGACATTAATGATGTAAAACATAGGTTGGGTACGATGAGCTGAATCCTCAATTACATCCCATTACTAACATGTAAGGTTCGTCAGCTTTAGTTTGTTTTAGTAATACAGATCAGATTCTGTTTTCTCATATTATAAACACACAACTAAAACCACAGCCATAAAATATGCAGTATATAATATACTGTAGCATAAAAATTCAAGTAAAAGCTTTTAATTAGATTGGAAACAAGGCCTGGGAAACAACGAACACCAGGAGGCAGTGTTGTGCAGCTATAAAAACTGATAGTTTGGTTTGAGCAATGCTGGAAAAAAATATGTGCAGTATGACGTCTTCATAATGCTTTTTATTCATGTAAAATTCAGCTTTTGAACTACAACATAGACCCTTCATTTCAGTTCATAAAACTACACTGCTAATGTATCCAAACCGCAGTTCTTTTACTGAGATGTTTGAGTCATTTTTTAATCATTCGTAAAGTAACTAAAAGCAGAAATCTAAAAGGGGAAAATATAGATTTAAACTGGATTTTTGTAATTAAAAAAAGGAAACCAAAAAACTGAATAGAAGTGCAAGCTGAATGACATCATGGCAGTTACACAGCTGCCACTAGGTCAAAGCTGTGCCTCAACAAAGACAAATATATTTTCCTTTTCATAGTTTATATAAAATTTCACATATTTACTCATAAAAAAGCTAAACGTAAACTTTTTTTAAAACCTAATTTTTAGGTGATCAGTGTTGTGTAACAGCTTAAATGGGTTTTATCTGAGAATAGACCAAATTACTTAAGCCATATATTGCATTCACATGACAGATTGATGTCCAAATGTTTGAGAGATGTCAAAAACAATTTATGTTTTCTTGAATGATTTCCATAACCGGGGTGGAAAACTGACGGACTGCTTTAAACACGAAATGATTTGAGAGACAACAGCACATTACACATGCAGCTGAAACAGCCATTATTATCCACTGTTAGCATCACATGTAATTGAACAGTTCTACATTTATTTTTGTTAAAAACAAACAGTCGCATCCTGAGTTATACACCTGGCAGTTTCCATGATCAGACAAACACAAGGACCAGTGTCAGTTTATAAAAGGTTTAGTGCTACTTTTAGGTTGATGACAACAAAGATACACACATATAGACCTTAACGCTCTTAACCTCTAAACCAGGTCAGAAATCGCAAATACACAAACTAATTAGATAAGGACGCAGAGGTGTCATCTGACACACAACCAGCAGGTTACAAGTTCGAGGGCCAGTTTACTGCATATCATCTGTCTCTTCATGTGAACAAGTTCCACTTTTACTTTAGCTTATTTATATCCTCCATTTTAGCCTTAAACAGCATATCTTTCTGTTTCATATGAACATTAAAGCACTTCTTTTAGATTTCTGTCATACATCAGAGATGATGGTACACAGCCAAAAGGAGCTGGTACCATTTACCATTCTCAACGTTTAAGGCAGAATGGTGGCCAGTGCTTCAAAAGTTTCAAAAGTCCAGTGTGAACAAATAGAATTCAACTTCACAGTGAATATAACTCATGATTAACTCACTGGGAGTCAATATCTGAACATACAGCTCTGTCCAAAAGTCTTGGGCCAACACACACTTTGTTAAAATTTCGCTAGGAAATGGGAAATATTTGCGATGACTTATTAAAGCATGTGCAAAAATACATGGAAGAAAAGTATATAAAGCAAATACTGATTTTGTAGAAATTTAATGAGCGTGAAAGTCGCTATTTGTTATGATCGCCTTTATTCCGCTTGAACAGCTTGAACTCTCTTAGGCAAGCGGTCCTCAAGTAGTCTCAAGAAATAATTTTCCAGGCTTCTCATAGGACATTCAAAGCTCTTCTTTAGTCAGTTGTTCCATTCTCTGGCAAGTTCAAGCTTGGGAACCGGTGAAAGCCCATGCATGACTGCTAATGTTCTACTGTGTGCTTTTCTATCCTGGTATGCTTTTGTTGCATGGGTAATATGTTGCTATCCTGAAAGATTACGCCACTGCCCAGCTAACACTTTCCAGAGAGGAATGCATGTTGAATTAAAAATATGATGATACTTTTCTCCAACACCACTGGCTGAACAGACCCTGCACTATGCTTTACAGATGACTGAAACAAAAATGTTGATAAGCAACAATTTATTTTACTTTTGAAATAAAAATGTCATATTCATCACTCTAAAACACCTGTTGTCACATATTTTCATTCCAGTTCTTGTGTCAAGTGACATACTTCAGCCTTTCTTCCCATTTCTCTTCCTTAAGAATAACTTCTTGACAGCCTCTCTTTCACTAAGGACCAAATTTATTTGTCAGGTATTTGCTGGGTTTATACCCATTTCGTAAGGATCCATCCATCCATCCATCCATCCATCTTCATCCGCTTATCCGAGGTCGGGTCGCGGGGGTAGCAGCCTAAGCAAAGAGGTCCAGACCTCCCTCTCCCCAGCCACCTCCTCCAGCTTGTCCGGGGGAATACCAAGGCGTTCCCAGGCCAGCCGAGAGATATAATCTCTCCAGCGTGTCCTGGGTCTGCCCCGGGGCCTCCTCCCGGTGGGACATGCCTGGAACACCTCGCCCAGGAGGCGCCCAGGGGGCATCCTTGCCAGATGCCCGAACCACCTCAGCTGGCTCCTTTCGATGTGGAGCAGCAGCTGCTCTACTCTAAGCCCCTCCCGGATGGCCGAACTTCTCACCCTATCTCTAAGGGAGAGGCCAGCCACCCTTCGGAGGAAGCTCATTTCCGCCGCTTGTATCCGCGATCTCGTTCTTTCGGTCACTACCCACAGCTCGTGGCCATAGGTGAGGGTAGGGACGTAGATCGACCGGATATGACTTTCGTAAGGATATGACTTTCAAATACTGTTTAATCTCCTTAGATAATTTTTTAAGGTCTGCTACTTTTTTTTTTACAGTTTTTTTTTTTTTTCAATTTTAATGCCACACTGCACACCATGATGAGACATTAAGTTTTTAGCTATTATGGATCTAATTTGGAATCACCTTGTTGACATGGTAAATTGCCTGTCAAACTGTGTTATCTTTGGGAATTTTTTAAATACATTTAACAAAAGAAAAGAGGAGAAATGATGCATTTACAGGCTGCTAGTAGCAAATTGCCTCAAACTACAATTTTACAATGGTTCTAAGTTGTCTGTTTCATCCCTGGTAAGACACCTTGTTTACACTTGAATGACTTATAGCCCATTTAAGTGGGTTGACAAACATTCCTCTGAATTCCTCTGAAAATGGCCAAGTATAAGGGCTGAGCTGAAAAACTGTGAAAAGCAGCCCAAAGAAATGACCTTCAAGCCTGGAGAACTACTTCTCAAGACCACTTCATGTCCACAAAGTCTGGGTCCTTGGAAGCAAAATATAAGGGTATGAAGGGTGGCTCCAGACTTCAGCACAATGATATTTGCCAGTGATTTTGTTTTATTGCAGTTGTGATCATTTTTAAATCCACCAATTTGCCTCCTGACATTTTAAAAGAAATAACTGCATGCAAAAATAAGTTCTACTTAAGTTTTATTTGACCTTAAACAGAGATAAGTGGTTACAGAAAACCTTACGAAAAATGAAAATATCTCATTTTTATTTACAGCGCTCATCTCAAAGTCTGCTACGTGGCTTTTTGAGCTCTCAGTGATTTCCCTTGTTTAACAGGAGAGCTCACTGGTCTTTATGATGAGGCACGTTGAACCTAGTGCGATATATATTTTTAATCACTTGAATTGAACTTGTGTTTCATTTACACAATTAGATTATCAAATAAAATGTGCTAGCTAGATTATGACGTATACAGATGACTAAGATGATTTTTTTCCAATAATCAAATTTCAAGCAAATTAAGAACATTTATAGACTGACTTATGGACAACACTGGCAACCTCACAGGGTATTGTGATGATCCCTAAACAAATAAACAATAGGATTCATGAGTCACTCAAACATTCTCTCTAAAGATCGTCAGAGATGTTAATCTCCCACAGGCGTGCAAGACTGATCATGGGCTCTGTCAGTGTTTTGCTAAATGTCCCAGTTATAATCCATGCATGTGTGCAGACACAGGACTCTTGTGCTGGCATGCTGGCCATGTGATAATCCAGCATTACCTACAGAGCCAGTACTACACAGTCAGAGGTAGAGGAAGAAGGACAGGGAGTGGGTGGGGCCAATTGAGGAGATAAATCCATGGAAATAGATGAGCCAATAGAAGTGCCAGGTTGATAAAGTGAGAAGAAAAGAAGAGAGAGAGGGAGACAAAAAACACAAAACAAAAAACCCCACAGACAGTGAGAACCAGGTCTTGACGAGGGAGGATTCTCTACAAGAAAGTCGCAGGATTTTAAAAAAATATGCCCCTGGTGTTTTTAAATAGAAAACTAACGCAGTGTTTCATTTAACCGGATTTCACTGTAAAAACAATTTTAGTTTACCTGCTTCCCCTGCTTTGGGGGGAAGAGGGTTATAACCTACCTGTTGCACTGGACCTGTTGAGAAAAACACAGGGGCGGAGGAGGGGCACCCGGAGGAGACGAGGTGCCGCCAAGTCGAGCAGGAAGCTTGAGCACAGACTCCGTGGAGTGATGAGGACAGCACGTCGGGCGAGCAACGTGGAGGTTCCCTCCTTCCTCCGACAGCTGGTGAA